GGGAATCAGCTATAACCAAACTTGTACCAACAATTACTTCACAATGAAAACCTCAACTAAACAACAAGACATAATAAGCAAGTGATAACTACACCGGTAACCACAACAATTGGACATGTAATCTATTTGCACGAAGTCATAGAGGAACTCACAATCAAGAAGTATCAAGCAATAAGGAAGGCAACCACATCAATTAAGGAAATTAATGGCCAAAGCAACACGTAAGAATTAGAGGAAAGCTAACAACATCATATGGAGCATATAGAGACAATTTAAGCAATTAATAAACTCAATCATAACGGAATACTTTCCACATATTGAACGTAAGGATCTAAGAACCCTAGAGCAAATTTTCCACAAATAAGTCCGAGCACATACTCGTCACCTCGCATGCACGGACTACAATTAGCATAGAAGACTCAAATCCTAAGGAGAAGTCCCCCACACAAGGTTAGGCAAGATACTTACCTCAATCCGGCCAATTCAATACTCAATTTAGCTTTTCCTTTACCGATTCATCATCGTTCGGCTCAATCTAGCCAAAAACGACTTGAATACATCAAACAATGCAAGAGAAAATAATTTCAATTGATAAAACCATGATTCTTATACAATTTGCAAAAAGTCAACTCCCCGGGCCCGCACCTCGGAACCCGACAAAATTTACAGAAATTGAATACCCATTCCGCTACGAGTTTAACCATACAAAAATTATCTAATTCCGATACCATTTGGTCATTCAAATCATCATTTTACATTTTTGAAAGATTTCACAATTTTCCCCAAATTTTCCTTTAGATTCTCATGAATTTGATGTTAAATCTAAGATATAATCACAAAATATAGTTAGAAATTGATTAGAGACACTTATCCAATGATTTGGAGAAGTTTGGGTCTTTGGAAAATCGCCCATGGAGGTTTAGGGTTTGAGAAAATTGAAAAATGGGTGAAAATCTCGTCAAAAACCTCACTTAACATGCCTCAGATGTCGCATTTGCGACCCGAGGTTCGCAATTGTGAACCCTCGAAAATTGCGAACAAATCAAGGCCGGTAGAAGTCGCATTTGCGACAAAAAGTTCGCATTTGCGAAATGGGCATCGCAAATGCGATGAAAAAGTTCGCATTTGCGAACACACCAGAAACCAGCAATTTTTCCCGACACGAAAATGAGTATAACTTCCTCATATGATGTCCAAATTCGATGATTCTTTTTTCTATGGCTCCGTAATTCTGATACCGATCTAATGGTTCAAACAAAACTGAATTTGGATCTCATTTGCTCAATGTGATATTATTTTTTCTTGAAGAAACGACGATGAAGCATCCAAAAATAAGCACAACATAGCCTAAACCTAGCCGAAACTCACCCAAGCCCTCGAAGCTCCAAACCAAAAATGCACGCAAGTCTAAAAACATCATACAGACTTGCTCATGTGATCAAATCATCAAAATAACATCAAAAACTAGGAATTTAACCTCAAAACTCATGATTTTTTAACTTTTCAATCGGACGTCCAAATCACGTCAAATCAATTCCGATTCTCACCAAATTTCACAGATAGGACTTAAATATCATAACAAACTTGTACCAGGCTCCGGAACCAAAATACGGTCCCGATACCAACGAGTTCAAACATTAATTCATTTTTTTATTTCCTTTAAAAACCAGCACAATAATTTTCTTCAAAAATTTTTTTCTAAGGCTAGGGACTTCGGAATTCAATTCCGGGCATACGCCCAAGTCCCATATTTTACCGCGGACCTCCCGGGACCATTGGAACACAGATCCAGGTCCATTTACCAAATATGTTGACCAAAGTCAACTAAAAACCAAATTTTTAACTCTAGAAATTACTATATTTTTCATATTTTCACATAAAAACTTTCCGGTTTTACGCCCGGACTGTGCACTCAAGTTGATACACATAATATGAAGCTACTCGTGACCTCAAGCTGCCGGACTGGACGCAATTGCTCAAAACGACCAGTTGGGTCGTTACAGAAAATCCCTGAAGTATTTAAAGTTCCTGAAGCACATAAAAGTTCAAGGGAAACTTGTTCAATAAAGCTTCAGAAATCCTTATACGGATTGAAGCAATCAGGGAGGATGTGGTACAATCGCCTAGCGAGTATTTGCTAAAGGAATGGTACAAAAATGATCCTATTTGCCTTTGTGTCTTAGAGGTCTGGATATGAATTTGTCATCATAGTTGTGTATGTTGATGACTTGAATATCATTGGCACTTCTGAAGAGTTTCCAAAGGATGTAGACTGTTTGAAAAAAGAATTTGAAATGAATGATCTTGGTAAGATAAAATTTTGTCTTGGCCTACAAATTGAGCATGTAATAAATAGAAATTTTGTCCATCAATCAACATACCCTGAAAAGATTATAAAGCAATTTACATGGATTATGAACATCCATTGAGTACCCCAATGGTAGTGAGATCGCTTGACATAAATAAACATTCATTTCGGCCTCAAGAAAATGATGAAGAGCTCGTTGGTGATGAAACTCCATATCTTAGTGAAATTGGGGCACTGATGTATCTTGCAAACAATACCCAATCAGATATTATTTTTGCAGTAAGCTTATTGGCAAGATTCAGCTCCTCCCCAACAAGAAGACATCGGAATGGTGTCAAGCATATATTTAGATATCTTCGGGGAACTATAGGTATGGGATTTCTTTATTGTAGTGAATTCAAGTCAGAAGTGATTGTCTATGCCGATGTAGGTTATTTGTCTGATCCACATAAAGCCCGAGCTCAAGCAGGCTATCTGTTTACATATGGAGGTACAACTATATCACTGCGTTCAATGAAACAAACAATAGCTGCCACATCTTCAAATCATTCTGAGATAATAGCCATTCATGAAGCTAGTAGGGATGTATTTGGTTGAGATCAATGACTCAGCATATTCAGAGATATGTGTGATTTTCTTACGAAAAAATATAATCCAACTATACTATATGAAGACAATGCTGCTTGCATTGCTCAACTGAAAGGAGATACATCAAAGGAGACAGAACAAAGCACATTTCACCAAAGTTCTTTTTCACGCATGATCTTCAACAAAATGGTGAAGTTTTTGTTCAACAGATTCGTTCATGTGAAAAATTTGGTTGATCTGTTCGCTAAGGCATCACCAACTTCAACATTTGAGAAGTTGAGACAGAAGATTAGAATGTGCCATCTTCGAGAAATAAAGTGATGTTTTCATTAGGGGGAGTAAGATAGCGTTGTACTCTTTTTCCCTTAGCCTAGGTTTTGTCCCACTGGGTTTTTCTGGTAATGTTTTTAACGAGACAACAAATAAAGCATATTACAGATATGTGTACTCTTTTTCCTTCACTAGGATTTTTTCCCACGGGATTTTTTCTTAGTAAGGTTTTTAACGAGGCGTATTATCTGTTTTTAGGCATTCAAGGGGGAGTGTTGCAAAATATAGTAAATATGGATGTCCGCTACTCCCATTACTTTCACACATGATGTAAATAACCTTCCACTACTCATTACTATTATGATTGTAACTCTCACACCTCCATAACCCCTTCCCATGATCTTTCCCCATGATCTCAATTGTTAATGTCATGTTTAAGACAATCATTTTGTAACCTTCCTATGTAATAATATAAATAGAGGCATGAAATGTGATATGGGACACACTTAAACACTTGATGAAATAATAAAATTATTTCTTCTTCTCTTATTCTATTACTTATCTTCTTGTTTTATATTGTTACTTTGAGCCACATTTTTTAATAATATTTGTGTGATCATAGAAAAATTTCATTTCAAATAAAATAAAAGGTTTAAAATGAATTATTTCTAATTATATAAATATATCATTCTTTTTTCAACAGACTAATAATCTCAATAAGTTGGAAGAAAGAAAGTTTTTACATAATACAAGGAGTGTGTGTAGTGTGTACAGTGTACCCATGTTACATTGTTTAAGGACATGAGCTAATCCCAAATGAATCAGAAGGAAAGAAAAAAGTTGGCCATGGTATACATTATTCTGGATTCATTTCACGGATGATTACTTTTTTCTTTTTAAAAATGTATTATACTCCGCCAATCAAATCCATGCGGATTTTCCTCTGTTTCTTACTAAGGAACGGATCATCTTCTCTTATTTCATATAACATCAAACAAGTACAACTTATTAATGCTGGTTTGACCAAGCTTTTTTGAGGCCAAAAGTGTTTTTCTCAAAAAGTATAAGGTGTTTGACCAAGCTTTTAGAAGGAAAAAAAAGTATTTTTGAGGAGAAGCAAAAAAAAAAAGTAGATTCTCTCCAAAAGCACTTTTCTGAGAAGCACTTTTGAGAAAAATACACTAGTTTTTAAAAATTTGGTCAAACACTAATACTGTTCAAAAGTGCATTTCAAATTAATTAGCCAAACACAAACTGGTTATCACCAAAAAATAAGCTGATGTTAAAAGTTTGGCCAAACATGCTAGTGTCTTTGAAAAGAACTGCGATCATAAACTTACTTATAAAGTTGATGGTCAAACCTTATTTTCATGGAGGTCTCCTAGCAATACCTAAGATCTCTATTTTAAACTTTTCACATTGGAAAAAGTATCTTCTAAGAAAATATTGATCACGTTCAATCATCTCCATTTTACATTCTCAACCTTTACTATGTTCTTCTATTTTTATTCAACTTTTTAGATTTTCATAGTTTCAATTTTGATGTGCTATAGGGTGGTTATGCTTTTTAGTCTGAGAGCAATCAAATTTTCGAAAGACCCTGCACTCCTGCTGAGGAATATATAAGCAAGATGCCATAACTACATGGACACTTGCTAAGTATTTTGATACTTTTACAGTTGAACCAGAGTTGACTCAATTTTTCAGGTATATTGCAACCTTATGATATCCATTTTGTTGCCATGCCCTCTATTTTCAAAATTTTGGTTAACTGTTTTTCCTTTTTAAAATCCCAAAAGAAGGG